AATTAATTCTATATCTTCCTTTCACTCTCCTTAGTACATAGACCATAATCAATGTTACGAGGCATATATTATGAATATGCTTCCAAATATTCGGAATATAATGTCTTGAAATTCATTAGTCTAGAAACACCGCATCCAATCTCCACCTAACTCCCTAAAATATCCCTCAAAAAATAGGAAAAATACTAGGAAAAAGGGAGTACAGAGATGTATTACATTTAACAATATTTAGTTCCAACTATAATGTCATTTTTTAAAAAAGTTATTTATGTCTACACTGAGTTTTAATATGCTCAATCCAAAAAAATTAAAGCTCTTTATAGACCAGTTGATTTACCATGTACATATAAGAATCATGTAGTGAAATGATAAGTTTTAAGGATCAGTTAAGAAACAAGTGCAGTTCAAAAGAGCACACAGAAGTTATAATGGAAATAAATTGAGAAAAAAAGTGAAAAGTAGATTACAGAAAGAAAAAAGTCTTTAGGAATCTGATCCAACTGTACTGAAGCGTGAAGTAACAAACTATATCTGTATCAGAGAGGTAGCCGTGTTAGTCTGAATCTGCAAGAACACCAAGAAGTCCTCTGGCACCTTATAGACTAACAGATTTATTGGAGCATAAGCTTTCATGGGCAAAGACCCACTTCGTCAGATGCATGTAGTGGAAATTCCAGAGTCAGGTATAAATATACAGACATCTGAAAAGAAAGGAGTACCAATCAAGAGGAAGGCCAGAGATAACGAGGTCAATTCAGTCAGGGAGGATATGGCCTACTTCCTCCCTGACTGAACTGACCTTGTTATCTCTGGCCTTCCTCTTGATTGGTACTCCTTTCTTTTCAGATGTCTGTATATTTATACCTGACTCTGGAATTTCCACTACGTCCATCTGACGGAGTGGGTCTTTGCCCACGAAATCTTAAGCTCCAATAAACAAACTGTATCTGATGAGAGAATGCAAACACTGCTATTGGTTCAGAGAGAACAGTCAGGGGAACAAAACTGAGATGTACCCAGTTATGAAAGGCCTCTTTCTCAGCACCAATACAAGAACAAGCCTCAATACAAGAATAAGGAGAATTTTAAAATTCAAGACTAGACTTTAAAACAAACAACAGTTGTTTTATCCTTTCTATAATAAATCTGTGGAACTCACTTTTCACAGGAGGAAGTTAAAAGACAAATAATAGCACAGTTGGATAACTTTGACTATCAATAATATCTGGAGCTATGCAAGGTAAAAGTATTATGTTCAAAATGCCAGATTTAGGTTATTACAACTGCTCCATGAGTCACCTCCCAGAGGTAACTGCACAACAGGCTATGTGCATTATAGGGCTATTCCAGCTGCCTCTGAAGCATCCAGTAATCCTCACTCCCAGAGGACTGATGTTGGACTTGATCGACCAACAGCCTGATCTGGTATGGCAAGTCCAGCAATATATTCTTATTCAGAAAAGCCCAGAATGCTTCACCTACAAGCAAAAGATAATGCTTTGGGAAATGATGAGCTAAGACTCCTGAAAAAGATATATTGAGGAGGATGTCTGGACAGTTCCAGGCCACTGGGTCCTCTATTGATCAGAAAACATTTTCCCTCGTGTTGGCTAAAGATTTCCCTGATCAAGGAAAGCTTTCCAGTGGGAGGTCAAATAAAAAAATTGAAAGCATTTGTCTGACATGATTCCAAAGCACTCAGTGGACTTATGGATCATCCATGTGATGTTCTCATGCTCCTGTAGCTATCAATGAAAATGTATGCTATAATCCTTTCCTTATGTGGATGCATTATTTATTCCAATCCTTGCTGTGGTATGTTATTTATTTTTTATTTTTTAAGAACAGTCCAGGTGCATAATGGTTATGTGGAAAGAGATTCCAGACGGCATGCCAAAGCAACAGCTTGTTACATCTTTCATGTGAATGCTTTTATTGTTATTTGTGGTAATAAGAGGAAAAGTCTGCGAAATGGCAGTATTCATTGCGAGGAAGTCCCTGTGAGTCTTACATTACCTGGGTGTTATGGTGCAGTGTGTATGCAGAAAAGACTGCAAAGATTTACAAAACTCATTTGCTAACTATCTTGTTTAAACAGGCACCTGTGTATGTATGTGCATGCCACATGGGAGAAATGGAAGAAGCAGGGGTGTTTCCCTGTAGACAGTGTGAAAGGGAAGGGCTTTTATTCTGTTTCTTCCTGCCCAGTGGAAGGAAATACTTTCCTTTCTTCCAGATAACACAGAGAGAAAAGAAGCATTACAGGTTAAACCTCTGTGGTCCAGGACTCTCTGGTCAGGCAACATCCATGGTCTGGCAGTGCCACAGATGTTTCTGGGCCAGAGATCCCAAGCTGCAGAGGTTGCCAGCAACTGGCGGCCCACAGAGCAAGTGGCCTTGGGGCAGGGAGCTCTGCCAGCTGGGGCAGGAAGCCCCACCCGCTGGAGCGGGGCCAGGGGCTGGGGGGCAAGGAGCCCCGCTTACTGAGGGCAGGGAGCCCAGCGAGAAGCCCCACTGGCCAGGTGCATGGACCCTCGCTGGCTGGAGTGAGGCTGGGGGCACTGAGTCTCACTGGTCGGGGCATGGAGTCTGCCAGGCAGGGGCGTGGAGCCTCAGCAGCCGGAGTGATGGCAGTGTCTTGGAGAGGAGCCCCACCAGTGGGTTGGGGTCAGCAGAGCCCAGCAGGCAGGCTGACGGCAGCGCACTGGCCGTGGCCACAGCCAGCAGGAGAGCCTGAGGCTTGATTTCCCCTGTTTCAGCAAACTCCCTTGTTTGGGACCACTCAGGTCCTGAGGGTGCCAGACCAGGGCGGTCTCATATTTAAAGATGCTCAAATTCTGAGTCATATAGGCACCAAGATAGATTTATGAGCATTGAGGGAGATTTATTTTCTATCTGAAGTTTCTCAGAATCTTCTATAGTTTTCAGCAACTAAAACTATTTAGTGTCATCATCCTCAATTCACAGTTTATTCTTCCTCAAATCATAAAGATGCCTTGTGAGCTCTTCCTAATGTCATAAGGACACCCTCTTGGAACTCCTAACAAGGACTTCAGAAGGACCAGGGAAGATATTGTTTTCAGACATTCCATCCCAGGTTCTGCTATATTCTGGGTCAGGATTCAGGGAGATTAATCAGTGCTGTTTGGATATTTCTGCGGTGCAGACATAGGCATATATCTCACTATCAATTTTTAATATTTTGATTTAAGAAATACCTAAAATAACAATTGCTCCTCGCACTGACTGGCCCCCAAGTAGAAATAATTTGGGGCTTTCGTTTTAATAAACTACTTCACTTTTTCCATACATTAGAAATACCTTGTTCACAAACATACAAGAAAAAAGAAGCTAGAAGAGCGTATAACACATGCTAAATGGCTGGAGTTTGAAGCTAGAAAAACTCAGACAGGAAATAAGGCATACATTTTTGACAGTGAGAGTAATTAACCGTTGGAACAATCTGTCAAGGGTCATGATGGATTCTCCATCACTGATTATTTCAAAATCAAGATTGGATGGGGGTTTTTTTCTGAAAGTTCTATCCTGGGAATGATTTTGAGGGAGTTCTCTGGTCTATGTTACACAGGAGGGCAGACTAGAACATAATCACAATGGTCCCTTTTAGCCTTGGAATCCATGAATATGTCTCAGCAATTTCCATCATGAGGAACAATTGTTTCACTCACTAAGAGAAGTAGATTGTCAAAACTGTAGCAGTCCATACTCCCATGACTCACTCAATGCCAAATTCTCCTGCTCATGTCAGATATCACAAATGAGGTGGCAGCCAGACTCTTGCACTTAAGACTTAAGATAAAAGGGGCCAAAGTATTTCAGCCCTTGACAAGGAGAACAATCAGTGTTTGAAAACCACAGTGTTAGAGAACAGGGTACAGTGACAATGATGGTCAGCCAGCAAACAGCAGGCCTGGCAGTAGTTACCATACGCTATAAGTGATTGGCTAGTGTGTGTGTTATGCAATTGGTCTTTACTGAATGGAATCAATTTCTCACCTGTGTGCAATAGCCCTTATAGTGCTGCTAACCCCTGACAACGGTTTTTTAGCTCAAGTGGTGAGGCCTGATAGAGCAGCAGTAGTCTGGCGCAATTTGGTCAGAGCTCTATTCTTGCTATTGCTATGAAGTCCTGAATGGTGATGATGTGCAGCACAGTGAAAGCAGTGAAGATCCCTTATGGTTAGGGATTTGTTGCAATAACTTCAAACCTTTCATCAATGCTAGTCCTTGGGGGCAGTTGCAGTAGGAAGCTATAAAATATAGGCAGGACTGGGGGTGGGAGAGGAGGCAGGGGCTAAAGAAGAAGAAAGAAATAGCTACAAGAAAATGGTGGTAGGGGAAAGAAGTTTTAGAGACACTCAACAGAAGTTTTGGGTCTTGTGTACGAATTCAGATCTGCACATGCATTTGTACCAGAGAGCACTTGGAACAGCACAAAAATGCTTACACTGACAACCCCGCAATACCTAAAGCTCATCTGTCTTGTCAGTGCTACTTGCTTAAGTAATGTGTTTAAGCAAACATTACAGAGTGCCATGTATCCAAATGAGGTTTGGAAGGGTCACTCCTTCCCTTTGTGTGTCATTGAGATGCAAAGGTTTGGGTTCAATAACAAATTTGATCTGACTTTGGAAGCAATCAAACAACAAGGTCCGAATGTATAACCCTGGCTTTAATTGTGGTTCATTTTTATTTTACACTGAAGATTTGCTCATTGAACCCAAACACCTACAAATGCCATTAAATACTAGCTAAATAAACTCTTTAGTCACATATTCTAATTATCTGTAGCAAAACTGAGAGTGAAGTAGCTGTCCTGACTCAGTTTATTTAGGAGGGCTTACACACTAACTGGAAAAATATCGCTTGAATACACAAAGAGCTAATTGTTCTGTTTCCTTCACTACATAGTACATTTGGATAACACTTTCAACAAAAATATTTTAATTAAAACATTTTAATTTGTATTTGTATAAAATGATGTTTTTAGGGAAAATTTCAATTATATTTTTCTTTTTTTGATTGAAAAAATTTAGGACAAAAATCTGTTTTTACTTTTTTTTGCCTTTTATAAATAATTGAAATGTGTTTTTGCAGTTAGCCCTCCTCCACTGCTCATTTTCATGTGGAAAGGAGAGGAAAAGATAAAAGTAAGAGAAAGTGGAGGGTAAAACACTTTTTCTTATTTTCGTTTTAACTTTACCAGTAGGAAAATGTGAAAAATTGAATAGAAGTGAGAGAAAGTATTGTTTATCTCCCTTTTCAAATTAATTTTAAAGAATTCCTCATATTTGTCCAGTTAAAACAGTGGGGGGGGGGACCCGAAAATTCTCTCTCCCTTTTCATATCCATACCCTCCATTTTTCGGTGGAAAAAGAAAGAAATTGAAATAAGTAAAGGGAAGAGATAGAAGAATAAAAACATCTCCATTTTTAAAAGACCAATGCAATGAAAATGTCAATTTGAAAAAATATGTTTTTTTCACTTAGCGTTCTTGTAAAAACTTTGAACGCAATGTCGTCATCTGAAATATTTTTGAGGAAAAAACATGTGTTTTCCAATAAGTTCTATAGTTTAGTAATATAAAAGAGAAAGGTTTACATTAACTATTTGCAAATGACAAGGAGTCAAGACTACTTGTTCTTGCTGCTGTCACAGACTCCTGGTGTTTCTTTTGTCAGTCCCCTTAATCTTTATCACAATTTCCTCATCTATAATAATAATAAAAAAGAGGATACTACTACTGACTTACCTCAGAAGAACTAATTTGCTAAGATTTATAAAGTGCTTTGAAAAGCTCATATAAATTGTTTTGCAGTCAAATGCAATGGTGACACATTGATAGACTGATAGACTGATCTGCAGAAGCGGCGAGTATTACCAATATTATTTCTAAGGGGAGTCAGAAGTCGGCATTGGAAATTAGTAGTGTCTGCAAATTTTAAAATCACAATTGTAGAGTATAGCTATGATGTTAAAAATAGAGATGCCTAAAATTAGGTATCTATTGATTTAGACACGTAGGTAAATGGCCTGATTTTGGAAAGTGTTGAGCTCCCAGCAGCTCCTACGGAATTTTTGAAAATAAGGTCACTTGTTTAGATGTTTGGATTTAGGAGTCTAATTCTAGGTACACACATTTGAAAACCTAAATTTGTTTTTACTTACTTATGTTAAAATTTCCATTGACTAAGCATCTCAAATTTGACCAATAAGCAGAAATGCGCACACAGATAACTTATCAAAGCCTTTTCTCTCTGTTAAAGCTGTCGGTGCCATAACTTGCAAAGATAATGCAGTGTTAGAAGTGTCTTTTCCCATTACTCTTTGCATGAACTCAACTATTAGGAAATGTTGAGAGACCAAGGGCACAGCCAGAGCATAATTGGTAACTCTCAGATTGAGAGCGCCTTACATGTCGATAACGGATTTTGTATGCTACCAGTAGCTCTCCCTCATCAGCCATCACCTTTCTATTATGATCTTATTCCTATCCAATATGTCAACTACTAGCAAACATCACCTATCAGTTTCCATGCTACTTAAGAACCGACATCTCACTTGTATGCTTTTCTGTATGTTTGGCTTCTGGGTGCATGGAGTTGAAGCCCAGCTTAATTACAATGGAAGGGAACACTTTCTTGCTCATTGGCCTAAATGTTCCTTGGAAACAGATTAGAGAGATTCCGTTCATTCCATCACCGAGACTGGGTTTGTTCTTTCTTCAACATGTGACGGAGGTGGGGGGAGGTGTGGGCCCCAAACTAGATTTATTACTACTTATAAAGAAGACTAAAATATAGTGAGTGAAATTAGAGGAACGTGTAGCATAAACAATATGTGAAGGAATGCAAAATGTGATGGATAACAATCCTGAAATGGAAAATCAGACTGAGTCATTTTAGGTGCCTATTGATTTCAAAATAGCTCAACGGTGTTAAAATTCTCAATCTGAATCATCCCCGAGACAGACTTGTAGGAGAGGCACTTCTGTCAGTGAAGGATGCCCTGGCAATACCTGAGCAGAGGAAAGCCCTTAGATATAGACATGGTTTTAAATGCTTAAGGATGCGCTTATCTCCATAAGTTTCTCTACCCCTTTTATTATTTTTCCATTGAAATTAATTTTGTCTTTCCTTTCTCTCTCTTGCTTGCAAAAGAGGGAAAGAAAAATCAAGAGAGAAATGAAAGAGACAGACTTGGATCTAAGGTATGTACTGAACTCTCACATTGGCCTGAGATGTAGCTCTGTATCTAAATTATGAAACCTGTAGCTTTAATTAATATGGTCTTGTGTCCCATTTTCAAACAGGAAGCCAAAAAATGTGAGTCTATGTCTGACCCCACAGGACACCAAACTCCAGAGACCGTGTATGACAATGCATGCTGCTCTGCATAATGATGCATTTCAATGTCACGGCATTAATACCACACACAGTTTTACTATCTTCTGCAGCAGTGGAGACCTGCCTTTTCAGCCGTGGCTTGAACATGCTTATTCAAAAAGACAAGGGGGTCACAACCAGTATTTTGGGACAGAATCTGTGTCCTGAAACTTCCCTCAATTTTACTGCTGCGAATTTCCCTTAGAATGGAAGATTTCCCAGGAGGCATTGAGCTGGCATGGCTGGTTCCTATACCTCCTTCCCCACAGCCTCTGTAGCAGGAGACACAGGGAAGGTAGATACCGTTTGGTTATCTCCAACTATCATATATCCCTTACGGATCATAGCCAGTTGACACAAATTAGTGCAGCCCCCTAGATTGTTTTAATCTAGGATGGGGAAGAGAATCAGGAAGCCATAATTAATTGTTGGCTTCTCCTCTTCCCTTATTCTGAGCTGTTCTAGTTGGTGGTATGTGGGAGAACTGAGTCATACTTTGCCAGATGTTCCCCTAGCCTCTGGCACAACTAGCTGAATTTCTGTGATGTTCTACATGTCCTCTCCTAGCTTGGAAGGAAACCAGGCAATGGATCAGCTACAACTGCTTTCAACTATGGATAGGTACATTTTTTTGAACAACCAAAATTTCACAATCTCAGGTCTAATTTGACAAGTACGTTTTTTTTTTTAGGGGAGGGATTTTTAAAGTAAAAACATTGGGATATTTCTAATGATGTTTTGTTTAAAATATTTCTAAGTTATTTAAAATGGACAAATTATAAGGTTAAAAACATCCTAAGAGGAAACAAAACAGAAACAAAAAACAAAATTTGTTTCAGGATGATCCCAAATGATTTTTTCCAGGTTTATCGATTCAGCTGCCAACACAAAAAAAGTTATTTTTCCAGCTTTATCTTCTTCGACCTCTTCTGCAACAAAGCAAGTGACCAACCGGTACAGAGGTATGAAGCAGCTGTTACAGGAAAATGCAGCAGGTACAGATAGCACTCCCAGCTGACATCATAGTTACTCCTGTGATGCTTGGGCAGTAGTGCAGAGGAAGGTCAATGGAGAGATAGAGCTCCCTGCCACCACCTCATAATGATGCAGCTGACAAACATTTAAATTTAAAAAGTCACAGGTCACACAGCTCAGGGAACAACTTCAATTCACAATCAAATTGAAATGATTCCCTTAGTGTAGTCATTCACAGGTAGGAAACCACTGATCCAAAGGGAACCTTCAAAATCAAGTTCGCTTTATAAAACCCAATCATAACTGGTTCCATCAAATTCTGAAATGTGTGGCAAGAGGTTGAGTGGAAAGTCCACTGCTGCTGTTGATCCCAGCTAGACTTTTTAACTGGGGGAAGGAAGAAGAAGAAAGGGGTCAGGGAATTCTGCAGGGTACAGCAACTTGCAGGATGGCCCACTACATTCCTAACCCTAATGACATAAAAAGCCAAGAACCAGGTTCTTAGAGTACTTAGAACCCACTCTATCCGCTTCATTTAACATGGACACTCTAGCTGACAATATATTTTTCCCCTTCTCTTTCGCTCCCCATCCCCTCTCTTTCTCTGCTATTTATTTGTCTCCTGGACCCCTTAACTCCATTCATCTGAAGAAGAGGGTTGTGCCCACGAAAGCTCATGATACCATCTACATGTTTTGTTAGTCTCTAAGGTGCTGCCAGACTAATTATTGTTTTTTAAGTTATTGCAGGATTATGCGGAAGAAATAGAACAGTTGGTCACTGGCTGTCCACCCAAAGAGAAGTTCTGAATGGTATGAACAATTATTTAAATATCCCAGAAACTCAGTCTGGATTCAGGCCAGATTTTTGTCTGCATGGGACAGACAATTTGCATCCAGTCTAACAGATCTAGTGTAACCATAAGTGTGAGTTATCTGGAGGAATAGACATGGATAAATCCCCCAGATTTGATCATTCATGTACTTAGAGAAATAGATCAGAATTTCAGGGTCCACATCTAGTAGCTAGATGAAGCATTTAAACCAAACACATATGAATACAATAAATTTCCAGATTTTGTTTTTTAAGAAACGAGGGATTGAGGAATAGTGTGAAAAAACAGAAAGGTAAGGTAAAAATCTAAATAAAGATCTGCACAACTTTTTCCTGTTCCTCATATTTCTTACATTCTTATGTTCTCAGCTAATAAATTAGACAGTCTATAGCATCTCAAAGTCGCTTTTAGGAGAGAAATATTTTTGGATGGGCATCAGCATCTTTTAAGCAGCAGCAATTTACTCTACGAGTATTTGGATTTATTACAAGTTCATGAAGTGAAACTGCATGGGAGACAAGACCATCTCAAATGTAGTTTAGTTGGGAGGACTTAGTCTTCTGAACAAGTGACAGATCTCAGCTGCCTGAAGTGCCACTTTTTGAAATTTGCAACAAACACTAAGGCTATGTCTACACTGGCACGATCTCGCGCCATAAGTATGCAAACGAGGCTAAGCGTGGAATATCGCCAAGCCTCATTTGCATATCTAATGAGCCACCTTTTTGCGGAAGAGGCTCTTGCACCAGAAGGAGCTGTCTACACTGCCCCTTCTTGCACAAGAAAAACCCTCTTGCACAATGCCGTTACGCTGATTATTTTCAGGAATAACAGCATTGCACAAGAGGGAGTTTTTGCGCAAGAAGGGGCAGTGTAGACAGCTCCTGCTGGCGCAAGACCCTCTTCCGCAAAAATGTCGGCTCATTACATATGCAAATGAGGCTCGGCGATATTCGACGCTTAACCTCATTCGCATGCTTCTGGCGCAAGATCACGCCAGTGTAGACATAGCCTCATTGTTTAAAAATAAAATTTTTCTTGGTCCAAAACTGCTTGTGTGAAAGTGTTAAATTTAGGCAGAAATTCTGAATGGTTTTTAGACACTCCTGCTTTCCCTGACCACAATTCTCACTTCTCTGATCCTTTCTTTCTTTTCATCTGTAAGCAATGAGTCCCTATTGTAAAAACAAGAGAAACACTAAGACAGATTAAAAGAACTTAAAGACCAGACATTTGAAAAGTCTGAATTTTTTCCTGTGAAAGAACACAAATTGGGCAGATTTTGAACTAGAAAAGTCCTGAATTCCACGAGTAAAGGGATTTGAGAAATGTGATCTCCCTCCCCCCTTATTCTATGTTGAAAAGTGGTTTTCATTGTATTTGTTTATATTTATTTTTAAGACATCAGTTGCAATGTTTCTAGATTATACAGTGTTGGGGAACAGAAAGGACAGTCAAGACATCAAATCCTCTGTCTCATTTCTCCACAGGAACAAAGCTTGTCATCAACTGGCAGAAGAGGACAAAATCCTTTTTATTTTCCTCTGAGCCCTTCAAGAAGTTCTCTCTTTAGATTATGGACCTAATCATGTTCCCATTAACATGAACGGAATAATGATCAGCTGCAAGCCAGTGAGGCAAACATTATATAGGTCTGTAAAAACTGGCAACAGACTTTATTGAACAGCCACAAAAGAAATGCCCAAGCATGGCTAGTTATTGGATCATACTTAAAAGCTTAATAACTGGTGGGAACTATTTAGCTCTCAAGCTAAATTGAGTAGGGCTGGGTCACTATGTAGGTGGGAACCCTCTAATAAAAGCCTACAAGAAGAGCTGATGAGGATTTAATGTTCAACCAATGCTATGAAGGGGCATTTTGTAGATGGGAGTGCTGTTTTTTTAACATCACAACAATTTAATGGTCTGATCTCTTGGGATCCTATCCAAAGTTTCTGACAACATTGGGGAGACTTCCATCAATATTGGTGGGCTCTAGATCAGGCCTTTGTTTCACCCATGTTCTGCAAATTCAGAGTATGATCGTTAAATGTGGTGTCCTAGCCAACTTTCAACTGGAGTTATTCCTACCTTACTTGTCATTCCCCCTGAGATTTTATTTGGTAATTTTTCCTCTCAAACTGTTCTAAACTATTGCTGTGTGCTTTTAAACAGTGGCTGTGTTTCAGCTCAGGAAGTGTCTGCATTTGACTCATTAACTGGATTCCTTTACACTACATTTTTCAAACTTTGTTTAGGATCCATTTGGATTAAAAGTGCTATATAAATGCAAGATCATCTCCATAGGATGCCATTAATTTTATGGATCTGGATGTCACCAAATTAAAAAAGATTCCCAATAGCTGCTGGCTTGAACGCATGCATTTGTATCGTGGCCATGTTGGTCTGTGCCCCCACTGCAGCCTGTGACCTTTAACACAAGCCTTTGATGAGGAGCATCTGCAGCACCATTGTGACTATGGAGCTTGGGGAGTACTCACTTCGGGCATTGATGAGAAGTAGGAATGTTGAAAGGGCGGGAAAAAGAAAAAGCACTTTATACATTTCTCAGCTGATGCGTTGAGCGGGCAGGCAAACAGCCCAGAAAGGTTGTGGCAGAGCCATCAGCGTGAATACAAAACACAATGTTTATTTCAAAAGAAAAAAAAAGGAAAAGTGATGCAGCTGCATTGCTCTACCCATGAAATTACATTAATGCTGCAGCTTCAAAAGGAACACTCCAGTCCTTTGCTGGCATCTACCCCTTTCATTCATTAATCTTCTTAATGCACTGAGCAAACTTCAGAATTAGAAAATGTACAGTGGGCTGTGTCATTCCTTTGACATGCTTTATTTTTCAGACTTACTTCACACACCCAGACACACAGTCACATATCTTCTGACCTTCCAATGGTGCAGAAGAGGTCATCTTGATATAGAAGTCATCTCATCCAGTACAGTACAATGATCCCCCATTTCCAACAGGATGAGAAGTGTCAGGAAATGTTTGGTAACATGTTTCATTTCACCAGCAGAGTTTATTCTTGGAACAAGACAAGAGGAAATATGCACCTTGTAGCCAAATCCTGCTAGTGTTACAAACACCTAAGTTCTCTCTCAAAGATATTTCTAAGAAGAGAAGGGGGAAAGTAGGAAAGTCAAAGACACCTCTCAATATCCAAAACCAATTCCTACACATAGAACCACACAGGTCCTCTGGCGCACACATTCCTAACTGTCCAAGCAAATAATTACTCACCCACAGAACTCACTCTCTCTCTCTCTCTCTCTCTCTCTCTCACACACACACACACACACACACACACACACACACACACACACTTGCTCTGTTACTATGTCTCAGTCAAGACACGTTGCTGCTGCAATGGGTAAAAAGCAGATATGCTCTCTTAATCCTGCAGCTATCAAGTCTAGCAGACTGCATATGGTTATTTGCGCCTAAAAGCAAACGGGTATAACGAAGCAGATCACATACCGTTATACATCCTGACTGACTGCAATTTGATGAGCTCAGAACTACTGACAACGTCCACACCTTTCAGCCTCAGTGTTAATGTTAAACTTTCTTGGCTCTCAGTTCTGTGATAATGAAACCACATCTATGGGAGACCCAAAGTAGCAAGTTTATTTAATGTAGGCCAATGTTGTTGTTATGCAATATTAGAACTATTTGTATAAAAAACTTTCCATTGTATCCCACCTTGTTTCAACCACTGCATTAAAGAGAGCTGTGACAGATTTAAGCAACTGAGCAAAGTGAATCAAAACATTCAACCATACCAGTCCAGGAGCCAAACAACACACTTAGCTGCACCCATGCAAGCCTTATGAAACAGGCCAAAAAGCAAGAAAAGGGATGCTTTCTAGGGCTATGTCTAGACTGCAAGCCTCTTTCGAAAGAGGCTCTTTCGAAAGATACTTTCGAAAGAGCCTCTTTTGAAAGAGAGCGTCTAGACTGCACGTTGAACTTTCGAAAAAGCGGCTTGCTTTTTCGAAAGAAAGCATCCAGTGAGTCTGGATGCTCTCTTTCGAAGAAGCCCTATTTACATTGAAGAACGCCTTCTTTCGAAAGAGGAACATTCGAAAGAAGGCGTTCTTCCTCGTGAAATGAGGTTTACCGCCATCAAAAGAAAAGCCACGTTCTTTCGATTTAATTTCGAAAGAACACGGCTTGAGTCTGGACGCAGGGGAAGTTTTTTCGGAAAAAGGCTACTTTTCCCGAAAAAACCCCTGAGTCTGAACACAGCCTTGGATGCAATCACTCTCAGGTCAGTTCGGATATTTTAAGTGTGGGATAGAAGAAGAGATTTAAAACCATAATGTCACTAATTATACTGATATGATGTTTGTAAGTGGAACAATGAAGCACTGCAAATGTTGGCGTAATGTCTTCTTTGTAGACTATAGATCAAATAGAGCAAAGAGTTATCATCCCAAGCTATTTGTGTTTCATGTAATAATGCCCTAATGATTCAATTAGCATTGATTCTTCAGCTGCAACAATATTTTCTGAATGATCCAGTAATTTACCTCTCTCTGTTGATTGATACAGTTCTTATGAGTAATAGAGCAGTTTGAAAGAAATTTAATAATTCACAAATCACTTAGAGGAAGATTTTTATTGCCTCTGCAACTAGTAACCCCATGAGATATCTGAAACTATAAAATCCCACTAAATAGGGTGGCATTTGTGCTGGTAGCTGCTTCTCTTAGAAGGCTTCTTTTTCCAACCTGGCATTTATTTAACAGCCTCCTCTTAGATTGCTTACAATTTTAGCTAGAGGAGGAGGAGAAGAAAAACAGTTATTTTTCTGGACACAGGTCAAGAACAAATATTCATAGTATAAGGTGCAGCCCTTGTGGAAACAATATAAGCAGCCTGCACTGAGCCAGTAGCTTGATAAAACCTGCTTTCATATGTCAGTCAAAAATGACACTTGATATTAGGGAATATGTCTCAATATCAGGAGTGATCAGAGTTTAGGGTCAACCCTAGGGAGGCAGTCAAGATACTGTCACCAGAAGTGATTAAAAGCAGATGCTATGGTGAATAATAATGGAAATGTCCTGCAAAATACATATTGTAAGAGACAGCCTAAGAAACTTTTATATCTGTCTGTGAGTGGTTCCAAGACGAC